TCATCTGTGTTGTAGCTTATTGCAAGTTTCCATCCATTTTAAGATTTTGTATTCCAAGGTGCATATTCCATAGTGTGTATATGTCACATTTTGTTCATTTGTTGATGGACACTTGGGTTTGCTTTTACCTTTTAGCTTTTATGAATGGTGCTGCTGTGAACGCAGGTGTACAAGCATCTCTAGGAGTCTGTACTTTGATTTCTTTTGGAGATACACCCAGGAGTGGAATTACTGGTTTGTAGGGTACTTACATGTTTAATTTTTTTAATACTATTTCCCATAATAGCTGCACCATTTTATAATCCTACCAACAGTGCATAAGGGTCCTGTTTCTTCACATCTTCATCAACACTTACTATTTTTAGGTTGCTTTGTTTGGTTTTGTTTTTCATAGTAGCCACTCTAATGGGTGTGAGGTGAAGGTTTGCTTGGTTTTTGCCTCGGTAACATTTTTTTCAGTCGGGTATGATTACTCTGATCATCTCTTATGCCACTTGCCCTTGCTTCTTGGGAAGTAACTTTTATTTATTTATTTTTTTTGGCGGGGAAGTAACTTTTAATATGTAGGTTGGCTTTGTTCTCTGTTCCTCCAACATCTAATGTCTTTTTCTTTTCATGTTCTGGAAAAGCACGTCTACTGAGTCAGCATCACCAGTTCAGCTTTCCAGGCTCTCAATTCTGCTCCTGCTTGTTGGTAAACAGTTTGCTCTGCTTTTGTGTTCTTAGTTTCCTAGATTTGTCTTTGTTCTAGTCTGATGTTAAGGTAGCTGGGTGGCTCAGTGGTTGAGCATCTACCTTCAGCTCAGGTTGTGATCTGGGGGTCCTGGGATCAAGTCCAGTATCGAGCTCCCTGCAGGGAGCCTGCTTCTCCCTCTGCCTATGTCTCTGCTTCTCTGTGTCTCTCATGTATAAATAAATAAAATCTTTTTTTTTTTTTTTTTAAGAGAGATTGTTCTAGTCTGATGTCTCTTGGCGTCAGCCTGGTTTCTCCTTCTATCTTCTGGTCTCCTTCTCCTAGAAGCAGGTCTTAAATGTTTTTGAAGCCTAAGTGCTTCAAAATGTGCCCTGGTTTTCCCACTGTTGTGTGCTCCGAGAAGTTGTTGGAACTCTATTTCTCCTGCCGGGTGGCATTGTGTTGTCAGAAGTTCTCGGTTGTGTCTTCAGGTTGAACAATTACCAATGAGTATGTCTTCCTTGTTTCTCCCCTTCCTGTGGCTCTGTTGGTGGTGGTGGGCCCTTCTTAGATCTCTGGGAAGATAGGGTGATACACAACATCTAACCCGATTTTTCTTGTCAAGGCCTCAAGCGCAGCTCTGTCCAGCTACAGTGGGATTTTTCTCACTCTTGTCGACTAAGTTAACTGATGTCACAAACCAAGAATCACAAACTTGTGACCAACAGGCTGCAGATAGCCCACGGGCCTTGTGTGTTTGGCCTGCATGAAGTCTAACACTGATCATTTTAATGCCTTAAAATGAGCCACAGGTTCTCCAGCTCATGACAGTCCCCACCCGACCTTATTGTCTCACACCCAGCTTGCTTCCATCATTTACGCCTGGTGCCTGAGTCTGTGGCCCCTGCTGCATGTGCTTAGAGAGGCCGACACACGTTAGACCATGCACACTGCCTGCAGGATCCCAGCTTATTTCTTCAGTTCTCAGGGTGTTCCCACAGAGCTGAGAATTTTTCTTCATTCACCAATCCACATGTCTTCGCTGGCCCCTACCATGTGCCCTAGGCACACTTGAGGGATGTGAATACAGGACTGAGTATGACAGGGGGCTCCTGTCTTCTCTCTGAGGTCAAGTGAAAGGGAGGGTTACTAATGTTTTGCAAGAAGTGGTGGTAGCAGCTTGATACAATCATTTCCTTATCTTCATCTTGATTCTCTGAGTCCTCCCCAAGTTACCTAGGATTTAATCACTGTAATCAGTCTTTTTTTTTTTTTCCTGTAAAAAGCAGATCAACAGAGCTAGCAGGAAAAAAACTCACTGTTTTGCTTTGTAACTAAAAACTATCTTAGACGTGAGATTATTTGAAGTAAAGAAAAAAAAATTCAACTGTATAGTTGCACAAGACTACTTCAGCTGGGAATTACCAAACAGGTGGACAAGCTAGCACAAAGCAGTGAGGTTGCTCAGTTTTACAGTATTTGGCTTCTTCATCTGGACTTTTTGCAGCTTATTCGTCTGATGAGCCACCAGGGCCCTCCTGAGGCTTCCTGGCTATCAGGACATTGGGTGGAGAGCAGATCTGCCCAGGGAAATGTGCTTCTGTAGACATTCCCAAAATCCTGACTCTGCAGACCAATTTTCCGCCTCTTCTTGTCCATTGCGTGGTGGAAAATACATTAAGCAACTCTTGGGACATCGTGCTGACTTTTTGAAGAATATTAAGCGTGGATGGGACAGTTAACCATCTGCAGATGCAAGTAATTTAGATGCAAAATAAAACTGCTTTCCAACAGGCCTGTTTGGCTCACTACTTGCTGATAGTAACAGGTCAAACGATCTTTCCATTCGGGTCATCCATTCATTGTATCATAGAACATTTGTATACTGGAATTTGCCAAGTGCTTTTCAACAGTTATTTCTTGTTTGCTGATGAAATGACGGTGTTAGCAGAGTTCAAGGCTATGGAAATGGACGCTGGAACCTCCAGAAGGGTAGTTAGAGCTGGCTCTGCACCATGTGCTTGGCATTTATGCCAGTGATCCTCATGCAGAGTCAGGGGCAAGGTCAGATGCCAGCTTCAGCTCTCGTAGTACTGTGGCTTCTGTTGTCTCCACCAACCCTAGGCTTTTGCCTTTGAGATGTATTTGTCAATTGATTGAGCAAGTTTTAAAGAAGTCTTGATTCTGAGGAATGCAAAAGCATTAGCCTATTGCTGAGCTCAGAAAAATGTTCCAAGAAGCTTTCATAGCCAGATTTTGATCAAACATCTGGGAGAAATAATACACACTTCCTCTGGTTACTGTGAGTCAGTCTACCCTGTGTTAGCCCTGACAAGGACGGAGATGTATGGGTTCGCTGTTGCAAGGTCTGCTCGCCTCTTAGATAAGAGCAACAAATGGTCCCCTTTTTTGCATCTTGGGATTGGTGTGGACAGGCAGCATCATAAAGGGTATTTGGGAATCATTGCTTAGGCTGGCCTAAGGAATGGCTAGCCTTGGCTGGCCATAGGGGATTGTGGTTTGACTCACTGCTGGATTCTTAGCTCTGACCTCCTTCAAGTGCGAGCCCTGCCCCATCCCCAGCCCTGTCTGATACGTGGATGCTTTTAGTCCCAAGAGTAACAGGCTGAAGCATGTGACCGGGTAGATTGGCCGAAAGGGTCACTTACCACCAGCAGAAAAGTCCAGAAGTGGAGTTCATTTATTAGATGGAGGTCTCCTGCTTCCACTTTTGATTTGGCTCCTCAACTCTCCTCATCTCACGGTTAGTTCTTGTCCTGCAGGTAAAGATGGAAGAGTTGCCCACAGGCAGGTGTGCAGGTGTGCTCCCTTCCAAGGAGTGTGAATTCACCTCCCGCCCCATTCATCTCTCCACACCTGGCCTGAGCTTTCATCCCATTTGCCTTCACATGCCAGAGGGAAGCTTCCTAGGAGCTGAGTTCCCAAAGTGTTTTGTGTTGATTTAGTAGATTAGATTTTTGATTTTATGGTGCAAAATTTCCCTGTCTCTCTACAGACATATCACAGTTGAATATTTTATATATTTTGGCTCTGAATGGCAGCGACTGGTTATCAAAATTCTGTTATCACAATATATAAATGCCCTGTGTATTTTTCCCTTGTTCTAGTCACTAAGCATTGGGAATCACAATTTATTTACTCATTGTCGAACACAGCAGTTTCTCACCAGATGAAGGGGAGAAGCTGGTTGATGTCTTCTAACAGTTACTAGAGCTGCATAGAGAAAGAGGATATTTCTTTTAGAAACGGGTAGTTGAACATATATTTGTGAATTGACTTACATTTACAGCAGTTGTAAGCATTAATTAAGAAAACTGCATTTGAGTTTATATATAGCCTAAAATAACCTTATGGAGAACTTATTTTGATGAATACTTAATAGACAAGAATTTATAAAGTTTTAATTTTTCTTAAAGTCTCAACATCCGGGAATTGGCAAGTTTTGTGGCACATTATTTTAAGGGTGTGAATAACTTGTAACACCTGCGTGGTTTTTTTTTTGTTTTGTTTTGTTTTTTACATCCTAATGGATGTCAACAATTCTACATTTCCAAGGTTTTTTGAAGTTGAGGGTGGCTTCTCCAGAAATTTGGGAATTGTCAAGAGCACAAGGTATTTTGGGATTTGGCTTCCAGTAATGAGCAAACAAAGGGCCCTGTTCCTCACATGACCAAGCCTGGAGGAGATGCAGGGATGCAGATGAGCCCTGGCAGCAGCTGCATGAAGAGGTCATTTCTCAGGTGGTCCACTTGGACCCAGGTTCCGGATCACCATGAAGCACACTTCAGGTCCTTCCAGGAAACTTCTCAGCTAGTCTGTTAGCTCTTAGTAAACCTTGTGGTTAACACAAACTAACCTTAACATATCCTAGGGATGGTCTCCCCCTAGCTAAATAGACAGCATCGGGTTTTTTGTTGACTATCCTTCCTGCCATTATTTACTGCCATAAACATAATTAATCGATCATTTTGATGGTAATTCTGTCTCTCATTATATATTTATTCAGAAAACACTTATGTACATACTATGTGTTGATCACACACCCATGTTAGTATGTATACATCGCATGTACCTGTTACATATAGGGTAAAATGGACCCAAGCAGAGACTCCCAGGTTTGCTGCTAACTGGTCGGATCACTTAACCTCTATAGGAGGTCTGTAAAGTAGGGGATGGGGCCAGAAATTTGAACACTGAGGACCCTTGCAAGACTAATCTTATGGGATACTATGTACCTACCTCTTATGAGCCAAATACAGTACCAATCACGTCTCTATCTGAGGCTCCCTTTCTGCTTGTTTTCCAGAAATGTGAAAATAAAAACTGGAGAATGGTTCTTTGAGGAACGAGCCAAGAAATTTCCAACAGAAGGTAAATGCTCTGAAGATTTTTTTCTAAAGTAAAGTGATATATTCCTAGTTTTAAAATATTTGGTGTTAAGACTTTGTATATAAAAAATACTTTACAGGGATCCCTGGGTGGCGCAGCGGTTTGGCACCTGCCTTTGGCCCAGGGCGTGATCCTGGGGACCCGGGATCGAATCCCACGTCGGGCTCCCGGTGCATGGAGCCTGCTTCTCCCTCTGCCTGTGTCTCTGCCTCTCTCTCTCTCTCTCTCTCTCTCTCTCTCTCTCTCTGTGACTATCATAAATAAATAAAAATTAATAAAAATATACTTTACAGGTTGGGGCAGCTGGGTGGCTTGGTCGGTTAAGTGTTGGACTCTTGGTCTCAGCTCAGGTCTTAATCTCAGGGTCATGGGTTCAAGCCCCACATTGGGCTCCACACTGGGCATGGAGTTTGTTTAAACAGACAAACAAAAACTTTACAGGTCATGGTAGACAGGCCTTTCCCTTTGACCTTCTGCTCTGGTTGGTGGTTTTCCTGCACCTGCCCCCTGGCCCACACTGCTCAGCATCTTTGTTGGTGGTATTCCCCTCTATATCCCAGTTCTAACCTCTCCATGGAGTCTCCCCGACTTCCTGCCTGTGGGAGTGGGGTTTTCCTCCTCTGAAACACCAGCAGCTCTTGTTTGTTCATCTTTTCCATAATTGTGCAAAGTGCCATATGTTATATTATTTGGATACTTCTCTTTCTTTCCATTAGTGGAAACTGTGCTTTTTAAATCATGTTAGCCCCTTATGGCACAAAGCACAAAACCTTGCCCATGATATTTGATTAAAATGATTGAATAACTGAAGGTTACAGGCAGTGAATGGTATTAGGATTTAGCAGATATCGATGATTAGGAAGTGAGGGCCTGTCATGACTCTACAAGTGCAAGCACGCACATGGTCTGGGCACCTCGATTATCTTGTAAAGTGTTTGCAAAGCTGATGTAACTGTGTAATTGGTAGCTAGGACTGGAAACCATGAGGGAAACTAGTTGTGCTTTGGTAACAGCAGTGCCAAATCAGGATGTGAACGGCACAGACAAGAGAGTAATGTATCTGACAAAGGTGCACACATGTGTCCTCAAGATAAAGTGGAGTCTGCATGCTCTGTGAATCACATTCATCCACAGTGGTAACACACATCCCCTGCGATGTAGGACAGCAGGGACTGCACGCAAGGAGCCAAGACTGACCTAGAGGGAACAGGGTGACTTGAAACCCCCCCCCCTTTTTTTTTTATGGAAAAAGTGATCATTTGAGATAAAGGAAGAAGCTATTTAGCCACAACCCAAAATGTGTTGGCAAGGAAAGGAAGCCATTTGTTTGAGCATTGACGCTCAGCTCTTATAAAAGGCACTGTTGAGAAGAACTCAGGCAACACCCTTTTTAAACTTGGCCACAGTAACCGGAGAAGGACAAACAGTGTATGTTCTCATTCATTTGGGGAATATGAATAATAGCGAAAGGGAATATAAGGGAAGGGAGAAGAAATGTGTGAGAAATATCAGAAAGGGAGACAGAACATAAAGACTTCTAACTCTGGGAAATGAACTAGGGGTGGTGGAGGGGGAGGAGGGCGGGGGGTGGGGGTGAATGGGTGACGGGCACTGAGGGGTACACTTGACGGGATGAGCACTGGGTGTTATTCTGTATGTTGGTAAATCGAACACCAATAAAAATTAATTTATAAAAAAAATAAAAATAAAAAAATAAAAGGCACTGTTAACTAAGGTTGATACTCAGTCGGCATTAAATTCTCTCCTGGATTATAGTCCTGATTCTTCTTACTCAAGAAAGGATGATGTCTCTGCAGAGCTTATTACAAATCTGGAAGGAGGTAAGGTGCTAATGGGCATGCTCAAGCAAAAGAGTGAGCAAGTGTGTATGGTCTCACCTAGGACAGTGAGATACTGCTCTCTCTCCTGTCCCAGCCTTGTTAACACTTTTTCCTAAATGCTGCCTGTCCATGAGAGTTGACTATCCCAGGTATTTTTCTGTTCATGTACTGAGGCCTTTTGGAGCACACTAGGATTTGTTTCCTTCACTAATCACCTTTTTTTTTTGCCTCCCTGGGGCTGTCGTTTAGGGCATAATCTAGGCAAGCATGGCAGCATGAGGTCTAAGTTTTATTGCTTTGTTTTGGGTTTTTATTTTTTATTTTATTTTATTTTTATTTATGATAGTCATACAGAGAGAGAGAGAGAGGCAAAGACACAGGCAGAGGGAGAAGCAGGCTCCACGCATCGGGAGCCCGACGTGGGATTCGATCCCGGGTCTCCAGGATCGCGCCCTGGGCCAAAGGCAGGCGCCAAACTGCTGCGCCACCCAGGGATCCCTGTTTTGGGTTTTTAAAATACTTTTTTGTTGGGGTGCTTGGCTGGCTCAGTCTGTAGACATGTGGCTCTAGATCATGGGGTTGTGAGTTCGAGCCCCATGTTGGGGAGTAGATTGTACTTAAAACTTTTTTGTCGGGGGCTGAGGTTTTCTTCAGGTGGTAGTGTCTCCTTTTTCACCTGGTTCATACACGGTAAGACTGTAGGGAGTGAAATTTCTATAATTCCTCAATAACAACTCCACTCCCAGGGACCTATCCTGGACCTTTTCAACACTGTTGAAAGTTTTAGTATCACTATTTTAATTAGGGAAATTAATTTGCAGGCCACAACATGGCTGTGTATGCATGCATGCATGTGCACACGTGTGCGTGCATGTATCTGCATGCTCCCTACCTTCTCATCATCTTTCTGGCACTCTTCCCTTTTTGTTTTTTATAAGATTTTTCTTTATTTACTCATGGGACACAGAGAGAGAGAGAGGCAGAGGGAGAAGCAGGATCCCTGCTCAGTCCCAGGGCCCCGGGATCACCACCTGAGCCAAAGGCAGATGCTCAACCACTGAGCCACCCAGGTGCTCCTGGTTGCTCTTCTGGTGAGTAGAAGTGAGTGGAAGCAGTAGGCTGGCATGGTGGCCACCTGACATAAGAGGAATAGGATAAGAATGAACCTGAACTCCCAGGTTTTTCTTATTTTGTCCAGTGACTTTCCACCAGAATGAAAATATCAAGAAAAAAAAAAAAAGCAGACAATGAAAGTCAACCTGAGAATAAATTACCCTTTTATTGTTTCTCCCAAGGTATAAAAGAAACAACCAGCACAAAAGAAAACACCAAATTCTTGACCCTTCTACAATTGCTTCCAAATGCTGAGGTGTCTCATTTTCTTACTATCTGATTGTAGGCGAGGTGGGCTCAGAAGGCATGGGGAGACCAAGAAAAATGCTGTGCTGGGCCCAGTATTCAAGCAGTCTCGTGAGCACAGGTGGGTGGAGGTTGGGAGGCGACGAGTAGGGAAAGGCCACCAGGGTGAGATGATGGCTCATGCGGACAGGTGGCTCTGCACCTTACTGACATCTGTGCTCTACAGACAAGGTGGCACAGAACTGAGCTGACTCGAGTCCATGCGCTGTATCTGCCGAGGGCCAGTTAGGAAAATAGAAACCACGTGGGGATTTGAGCAGGGAGGATCTAATTTAGGGAATCAGTGAAGCAGGTGTTACTGGAGGAAAGAAGGCAAAAAAGGAGGCCTGTGGGCCCCCAGCGGTGGTTTAACTGCAGGAAGCTGACCCTGGGTCACGGGGTGATGCACTGGGTCACCGCCGCCCTCCTGCTCTCTGGCATCTCTGGTGGGGAGCCCACTGCAACCCCTGCTCTCCCATGTGTTTGAGACCGAGATTCTGCGTATTACCTAGTGTTTGCTCTAACAGTGTGAACGCTGCTCTTTCCACCTTCAATATCCTGATTGGAAGTTGGAAAACGAGATGGTTGTTTGAGATACAAAAGGTGCAAGGCGGCCCAAATCTGTGCCTCTTTCCATTGCTGGACCACAAATTTGTCCAAAATGTGGTGGGTTAAAATAATCAGTATTATTCTATAGGGTCTTTATATGGCCTTCAGCTGAAGACAGAAACCGGGGCTGGAGGATCTGCTTTCTCCAGGGCTCATGCACATACCAGGTGTGCTCGTGCTGCCGATGGCAGGATCCCCTGGTCCTCCACCCCTGGGGCCTCTGGGCAGGGCTGCTTGGGTGTGTTCACCGTGGTGGCCGGCTTCCCCCAGGGCAGGAGGGCCAGAGAGACAAAGGCAGAGCCTGACCTTTTTATATTGAATTATTTTTAATTATGGTCAAATATACACAACATAAAATTTACCATCTTAACCATTTTTAACCATACAGTTCAATGGCATCTGCATTTACTTTGTTGTATAACCATCAGCACCGTTCATCCTCGGGACTTCTTCCTCCTCCCATATCTCCCCTTTCCTCACCTCTGCAGAACTCCTAGGAACTTCTACTTTTTGGATTAAAATACTTTATTTACTTGAGAGAGAGAGCACAAGCAGATGGATGGGCAGAGGGAGGGAGAGAAGCAAACTCCTCACTGAGAGGGAGCCCTCCACGGGACTTGATCCCAGGACCCCAGATCATGACCTGAGCCAAACATTGACACTTAACAGACTGAGCCACCCAGGTGCCCCTCTATTCTACTTTCTACTTTCTGTCTCTGTCAATCTCTTTTATGGCCTTGCTTCAGAAAGCACATGCTGTCATTTCTGCTGTGTCCTGTGGTGACATAGGTCTGCTCTGTTCAGGGTGGGAGGGATGGCATAGGATACATCAGGAGACCAGGGGCCCTGCAACCCACCAGGAAGCTGGCCACCCTAGCCTGTATGCCGTATCCTGATCCACACACCTGAGACTCATACCCGATTCCCTCCCCCTACCAGTCAGCAGATCCTGACATTTCTGCCTCCCCAGTCTCTTGAATCTTTGCCCCACTCTTCATCCCCACTTCTAATGCAGTAGCTCCTAGCTGGTCCCCAAGACTCCACCTGCCCTGTCCACATTCCAGCCTCCACTTTGCAAAGAGGGAGCTTTCTTTTCCTTTTAGAATAAATTGTTCATTATCCAATTATAGAAGT